AATTGTTGCCACGAAGTAGTATTTCGTGGCCACGCAATAAGTATAACGTGCGCACGAAATACTACTTCGTGGCCACGCAATAAGTATAACGTGCGCACGAAATACTACTTCGTGGCCACGCAATAAGTTTAACGTGCGCACGAAATACTTATTAATAATATTAATATCATTCCTGGACAACTGGGTAAGCAAATCGAGCGCGCCTTAGACCTTAGAGAAGGCGCGCTCGATTTGTTTACCCAGTTGTCCAGGAATGATATTAATATTATTAATAAGTATTTCGTGCGCACGTTAAACTTATTGCGTGGCCACGAAGTAGTATTTCGTGCGCACGTTATACTTATTGCGTGGCCACGAAGTAGTATTTCGTGCGCACGTTATACTTATTGCGTGGCCACGAAATACTACTTCGTGGCCACAATTAAAATTATTTTTTGTCCATGTCATCAGAGGGGCTCCGTAGCCCAGAGAGAGAACCATTAGTAAATAAAACCCCAAGTATGTATAGTAAAATACATATTTGTGAACGTTTTAAAGAGGCCTGGTTCTGTTTTCTCCTTACCATTTAGCTTTTGGTTTGTCTAATTTTTTTTTAATGTTGTAGGTCATAAAAATCAGCTGAAATTTTATTTATTTTTTTTTTTACCCCCCGTTACGTTCAAGCACATGACTCTGTCCGTATTGAAAATGATGTGACTTTAAAAAGATCAACCCTTACTTGAATCTCACTGCTGAAGAAAAGCATCAATCTTTGCTTGTCTCGACTAGCCCACTTCTTCACAGAATGAAACGGCTGGAGGGTAAATACTTCTTCAAACCTTTTGATATTTCTGCTACATAAAAAGTAACACATTTCCCTTTATGCCGCGGCAGATAAACCACAACCACACATTTTGCAGCAGATATTTTCTTTATTTTCAAGCTTTCCTTTTTTACTGTAAAGAGTAACAAAAAAATGGAAGAAAATATCTGCAGAAGAGTCACAGGTTTGTTTTCCAACAAGACAGTAGAAGACCAACAAACAGCATAAAATACACCTTAAAGAAATTCTGTTTTTATTCCTTTCCTCTCCTGCATCCTTCAGGATTGTGTGGGTGTATCTGACAGTGGGGGTTTGGGTGTATCCCCTCCTCGGACACTTCAGTGCTGCTGGTCTGCTGGGCTTCTTCTTCTTCAACATGACTGTGGTGACTCTGCTCTATGTGCTCGGGGACCGGCTCAACAGCCACGTTTGGAGTGAGACACGTTTATCACCACTGTTCAGTCTCTATTGTGTCACGTTCTCTTTTATATTTCTCCCTTTTGTTTTCTTCATTCCAGAACAGGACAAAGCAGAGTGATAAAGAGTTTCTGGGACTGCTCTAACCTTTTGCATAAAGCTACCAGCTTAAAACAACGAGATGTTAAATGTTGCATGACAAGCATCCAAACACCACAATAAATCAGCTTCCTCACACTACAGTCCAGCTGTGTGTTCTGTTTTATCAAAAGCTATGCATTGAAAACCAGCAAACAGGCAGGAAGAGCTGAGGGGGGATCCGGTTTAACCGTCTTTAACCTGAATGAAACGTGTGTCGTTATTAGTCCAGAGCTTCTAGAAGAACAGGTCCGATCTGCGGCGCTGAACAGCACCAACGTGAGCCTTTCACTAATCTCCAGATACTCCCAGGAAAATCTTTGGTTTGGGGTCCACTTGTATCCCTCGTCTTGACCCCCGAGATGACTTGATCAACCTCCTCTTAGATCTCTGTAGCCTTTCAGGTGGTGCAGGTAGTTTGGATCCGCGTCCACCAGTCCCATAGAAAGGATCTTTGCCAACAAATGCACATCTTCCTCACTCAGATCATTCTGTTGACACGAGTTATGAATTAAACGTTTGATCACTTGTCGGTTAAATCAAATATTGTTCCATAAAAAAAAAGAATACTCACCATTTTGCTGCTGGAAGACGATTCAGGGATTTGGGACTTTTGAGGCTTTTTTCCCTATTGACAGCAATAATCATGTCAGACAATCCGACTGAGAATATTCCTTAGTTCTTAATCAGATTTAGTCCCAAATGTGTTTTCATTATATTTTTGAATAGAGATGAAATATTTAAGAAAAACTCACCTCTTTCAGGCCTTTAGAAAAGCAGATTACAACCAAAAGTAGTCCGGCAACGACCTGAATTACAAGAAAAACACCAATCAACACAACTTCTACCTTTATGCACAGAAATAGTGAAATGCTTTAATAAAAAAAGGCCTTTACTTACTCCCACTAAGTGCAACATGTTTGCTTCTCGAGCTTCTGTCCAGCATATGCCTCCATACGTCACTCCTGGTGATCTTTATAAGCCTCAGAAGCATCAGGCCACTGTGCGTAAGCTGCCAGGGGAAATCTCCCAGGCGGAACCTGCAGAACAGGACCAGCTGCATTGACATGAAAGCACCTGATGTTGAGTCTTTAAAACAAGTTATGTTTGTTACGCAAGTGTTTGCGTAAAAAGGGCCCTTAGAGTGGGAAGAAGGCCGTAATCACAGGGGACGCTTAGACGCACTTAAAACCTTTATTTTACCTCCACCCTTAACACCTGTGCAACAGAAAATACTTCAGAGGTTTGTCAATGTGTCTCTGAAGTCATCTTTAAATGTCATTTAAAATGTTCGGATTGCTTTACTCATCTTTACAGTTTTCCTGGGACTCACCAGCTGCAGCTATCAGGAAGCCGCTTGTTCTGACAAAGAAAACATGCTTTTTCCCCTAAAGCTGGAGAGAAAATGTCAGAGTTTAGACCCGTCCAAACTAGCACCAGATCTGCTAAGCTTGATCTGCCCACAGGCCCCTTTTTAACAGCTGAAAAAAACAGATCAAATCCCTGCTCAGTAAAAAATACAGTATTGATAGTTTAAATTAGTAAGATATTAGAAAAAAAAGAGGGTTAGTCGTTTGCCTTGCGTGCACCGTATGAATTCTTGGGGTTGAATATTTTTCAAGCTCATCTCTGCAACAAGATGTTTTAACGTTATCTCCTCTTTCTTTCATCTTTTCTTTTTTTCTATTTTTCCTTTCCTGTTCTACTTATATTACAGTGTCCATAAAATCTGTAATAATCCCTGCATGAATTATAATAAAGCCATATATATATGCATAAATTAAGCGGAACACTATGGCGATAGCCGTACTGCTCCACTTGTGAAAGCAAAATCTAAAATCTGTTGCACTCTTTTTGGCCTCAAGACAATTATTCTTATTGCTGCATCGCCAGACAGGACACTGTTAATAAAAAAGAAAAATAATATCAAATAGGTGATCAAAGTGTTATTATATTCAGAGGTGGAAAGAGTACTAAAAAATTG